TTTACCGAATACATGAATATTATCAAATACAACAATTTTTCGCCCTTTCGCTATAAACAGCCGAATTAACAACAGCAGCATATGAACTAACAAGAGCGAAATCGAATCAACATCAAGAAACATAAGCAAAAACAATCAATGGCGGCGCGCAGAATAACCTGATCAAGACGCCATTAATTCAAAGGATCCGCGAGGAGAGGCGAGAAGTAATACGGCGGGGCTGAGAGCAATAGATCGCCGGAGGTATTGAAGAGCCGCCGATAAAGGATAATATTCTCAGATTAGATGGAGAAAGAGGATTCGGTGGCGTTTGATGCTTTTGGGGCTGCCTTTCAGCTTATCAGTCACTTTCCGTCTTCGCTTTCGTTTGTGGGGGGGCAAAAAGCAAAAGAAATTCAACAATGGTGGTTCAATTGAAAAATGTTTTGTTTATCTTCATTTAATTATTTCCAAACATAAATCCCATCAAGCGATAAAAATTGCATATAACATATAATATTAACTTTCAGATGTTGAATGATATATCAAAATTGGTGTTGGACATCCGAGTTGACTTATGGGAGGTCCACAGGACGAGAATAGCAAATCGGACGAAAATAATCCCGAAAGCTAGACCGGCACTCAGATTACGAAAAGACCGGGATGGACGAATAGTAAAGTTGCTGAGAATTGTGGGGAATAACTTTTTATGCAAGATTAGAGAATCGGGGCAAGAGAGTGTGGTCCCACGCATATTAAGCGCACCATAAGAGAGTGAGCCTAAGTGCACTATAGTGAGTTTTTATCTCAAAATCAATTGGTGATGGGAGGAGTAGCCCACTTGGCTTATATACTAGGCTTATTTTCTCTATAGAATCAATGTGGGACAACTCATGGGAGGAGTAACTCACTTGGCTTATATACTAGGCTTATTTTCTTTATAAAATCAATGTGAAACAACTCACAAGTGATACTCACGCCCCCTCACTTGTGAGTTCTTCATAAGCCCAAACCCAGAGCAGGCTGGGTAGAGATAGAGATCCTGGCCGGAGTTGGTCGTGTAGAGATAGAAACCCAGACATGAGTCGACCTGACTCTTATACCATGTAAGATTAGAGAATCGAGGCAAGAGAGTGCGGTACCACGCATATTAAGCGCACCATAAGAGGGTCAGCCTAGTTGCGTCATAGTGAGGTTCCATCCCAAAACCAATTGGTGATGGGAGGAGTAGCTCACTTGGCTTATATACTAGGTTTATTTTCTCTATAGAATCAATGTGAGACAACTCACAAGTGATACATGTACTCCAACATTTTAGAACGAAATTTGGGGCGTCGAATGGACGACGTCGACCTAAATGAATGTCGAACCAGAAAATAAAGGTCCCGACAATCAGGAGATGAGGATAACTCAAGTCGTGGAGAGGATGACCTGAGGATTCGGCCAAATTGGCCCCCTCACGCATCCAGAGTCCGAAAATCATATAATATTGTCACTTGTCAAGTGATGATTGCTGATGAGATGAGACGCGCCACCCTAGTATGATATTCCACCGTACCTAGGTCAATAGGGCGACCTATCAACACTAAATGCTCCATATGTGCATTTAATGTCTGGCAGGTAATCATTGGAAAACCTCAGACCTCATTTAATCTTGTCAGAATGGTACCGGCCTGTCATTTCTAAGTTACTGTACAAAGTGACAGGATGAACACTACCAGACTCAAGTTACTATAAATAGGAGCCCACCCTCATTTATTGAGGGTTGTTGATCTCTCTATCAACTCTCTCTCTCTCTCTCTCTCTCTCTCTCTCTCTCTACATTTATTCTGTGAACAGTGTAAACAACATTCGTAATTATTCCCAACTATAACTAAGTAAAGAGCCGACCTCATCCTGAGAGTCCGATCTTGTAATTAAGTAATAAAAGCTCATTTCTTTCGTAAATCTTCCATTAATCATCCTTCGTTCTCATGTTTATCCACTTCAAATACAAATTTAACCGTTGACCGATTCCAGTCGTGAACATCATAAAAAGAAAAGGAAAATAAGCATCAAACTTCAACCAAAAAGTATAGTTAATACATAAATATTACATAAATATATATATAATAAAAAAGGGGTAAATTGCACCAAACCCCCCTGTGTTTAACTAAATGTGCGCGTTTTCCCACTGTGTTTTAAAAATTGCACCAGACCCCCTTATGTTTAAGTAATTGTTGCACGGATCCACCATTCCGTCCAAGTTAACCGCGCGTGTGTGACACCTTCTCTGGCTGCGAGATTTATTCAATTTCTTTATTTTCAGAATTACTTATTTACCATTATGCCCTCCTGAATTGTATTGCAAAAGCAAAAAATTTATAGTGCAAGAAGTGGGACTCGAACCCGGATTGCAGAGGGAGGGTGCGCGCCAACAAAGCCACTAAGCTACATGAATGTAGTGTAAACTATTGAACAAACATATATTTATAATATAAAACGAAAATAAATCAAATAAAATAAAAATAAAGTAAATAGTAAATTAATATAAATTAAATAACTAATAATAATAATAACTTGAAATAAATTAAAT